TGAAATACCTCTTGCATTCTTTCCTCAGCAGTTGGGTCCCCATAGAAGGACATTGGTTCACCAACAGTCTATTGTGGCGTAGCAGTTGGTGGCAAACCAGTTGATGGCATCAAGTTACCGCCTGCCTTTGAAGACATCTACTTAGAAAATATGAAGAAGAAGAACTCCGAAAAATATGAGGAAGAAGGAATATATTTCAGTTATATTCAAAACTTCTTATATTACAAGACCAAATGACACTCCTTATATAGGAGATATTACAAACATCATCATAACCCATTATATGCCACTTACATATTATATATTACCACTATCTACCACTATCATATTATATACATAAATGGCTCATTACTTCAGTCTTGGGTGACTGAAGTACCACCTTCTCACTACTACCAGTTTTTGCCACTTGTATGGACTTGCCAGCTTCCTCCTTGGATTTACTCACCTCTGTCATCGTCACAGCAAACTCTGATAAATCCTCTACATCACCCTCTAACTGTACTAATTGCCCAGGCTTTGCTTCAAACTTCTTGGGTAAAGCCAAAATCATGTTGCAATCAGGGTTTGCATGTAAGGACCCAAACTTGATTGCAGCCAGCTTTTCACCAAAGTCCCCAGAACTTTCAGACTTTGTATCCTCCTTGCTGTCGATAGGAGCTTCTAATTTTCTTGCCACTACTGCATTCTCATCAACCATTATCTCATCTTACCTAGTCTCCCTTATCAGAAAGGAGAGCCTTAGATATCTCCTCCAATTGCCTCCTAAGAAGTATATTTTTGGGTGTTTTTTCGACCACCTTCTCTGTCTTACTTGACTCACTAGCCTCTTCCTTCTTTTTTTCCCTTACCCAAGTTAAATTATTTTGATCATCCTTCTTTGGGTTGTCACCCTCCTTTGTTGAAAACATGGCATGATACTTCCTCTGCTCTCTTCTAATCTGAGTCCTAGCTGGGCCCATAGGTTTCCATCCTGACAAAGGAAATTTTGGATGTAACACGCCTTGCCAACCAACATGTGTAGGAACTGGTGGCTTTACCATCCTTGGCTGAGCTGGGGGGGAAGCTTGTGGGAACCTTACCCCTTAGCCATGAAACTAACTTGGCCTGAATGGACTCACCCCACTCATCCCAGCCATAAACCTCTAACCTTGGGCAACAAATGGCCTTGACATAAATACTGGCCTCTGAACATGACTATGGCCTCTGATTCCTCAATTGCCTCACTTTAATTCTAACCCCTTTTGCACCATGGAGAGAAGGGTAAACAGGTTCCCATTTAAATAGAAATGGACCATCCTTCTTACCATATGATCTGTCGACAGGTCCAAAAACTCCAGGATCCTGCCCATCATACAATTACTTCTTGCAATTGAAAATTTGAAAATCACCTCCACCTAAGGTATTGAACCTTAAGCCATGATCTCTCACACTCTCCTCAAACTTATCAGCCAAAATTGCTTGTAACTTTTCCTTCTCAGTTCCATACCTTGAACAAACAAAATTGTCCTCTTCTATCACCTTCTTTCCTTTCTCTTGTTTCTCTATATGGATTTTCTCCGAGTCAGCTAGCAACACACTTAGATTTGGGGCCTTCCTCTTGATGCTAGTTGCGCTCATGAATTGGTGCCATCTCTTGAAAAGAATTACTGTCTACTGCCATAACTCCTTTCTCTTTCTTTACATACTTTAGCAACCCTTTTGTATTAAATCATGCACACAATTTCTAAAAGTCATGCAATTGTTGCTAGAATGTCTAAAAATGTTATGCTATTTACAATATTCTTTTCCTACTTTGTTTTGTTCTTTTGGTATTACATGTCCAGGGACAATGTTAAAAACTTGTTAGCCAACAATTCATTGAAAATGACATCAGCTTTAGACAAATCAAAAGAATACTGCCTAAATGTGATGTTTGTATTTCTTTTAGTGTGCTGAGTTGTTGGCAATATTCACTGGTTTGTCTACTTTCCTCAAAGTCCCACAAATCACTGGTGTTTTGTCAACCACTTGTGCCACATCTACATCAATTTCTGCCTCCAAGTCAACCTCTTGGAAATAAGTGCCATATGAATTTGCATTTCTATGCCTTTCCTCCCTAAGTATTGACTCATATCTGGTTGCTCTAGATGACAACTCAAACAAGTCCCTAAATTCCATTTGTTCAAATTTCTTCCTTAACTTGAATTCTAACCCATTTTGGGCCATTCTCACAATCTCAACTTCCGACATATACATTCTACATCTATTCTTTGCCCTTTTAAACCTATCAATGAATTGTTTTGCACTCTCAGAAAACTTTTGGCTTAATTCAGATAAATCAACTAGAGTTACATCAAGTTCAGTTTTATAAAATTGGGTATGAAATTGATTTTCCATATCCATCCAAGTATGAACCGAATTAGCAGGAAGGTTGATAAACCATGTAAAAGCAGTCCTAGACAAAGAGTGTGGAAATAACCTCATTTTGAGAATATCATTGTTCCCTATTTCCCCACACTGTAAGTTAAACCTTCCTATTTGTTCAATTGTTGACTGGTTTTTCTCACAATGAAACAAGGAAAACTCAGGCACTCTATAATTCCTATGGAAAGGTTTCTCATCTACCCACTAAGGGTAAGAATTCCTAAACCTAGGCCTTTCAGGCCTTCTTATCCCTCGGCCATAAAGGTCTTGAACAATTTGTATAATTTGGTCCCTTTGAATATTATCATTTTGCCCCCTATAACCATAGTTGTTTTCAAAAGGTTCTTGCCTGTCAAAATTTAAAGGAGGTCTTGGTCCCCTCGGCCTTGGACCATTGCCATATGGATCATAATACATTTCAGGTCTGTGCACTTCAGGATATGCACCAACATTTCCAAAATTATTGACCCTTTGATTTCCATAACCCATATTAGGAACCTCTCCAAACCAAACATCTTGGTTTTTGAAACCTTGACCATAATTTTCAAAAACCACATTAGTTCTTGGCTTCATGTTTGGATAATTATTGAATTTTGTTTTAAACAAATTTCTGTTTTCTACACCCTTTTGGCCATAAAGTGGATTAGAAAAAACATTAGACCCAGACTGCCCCCCAGGCCAATTTCCTTGAGTTTTAAAATTCGGAGTTTGAAATACCTCTTGCATTCTTTCCTCAACAGTTGGGTCCCCATAGAAGGACATTGGTTCACCAACAGTCTATTGTGGCATAGCAGTTGGTGGCAAACCAGTTGATGGCATCAAGTTACCGCCTGCCTTTGAAGACATCTTTTGTGCCCTTACCTCACTTTGACGGGAATACTCCATCAATGGAACCTTCAACACACTCCTTACTTCCCCAAAAAGGATTTGATTCTCTTCCCGTGACTAGTTCGCCAAAGCCTCCCTTATCTGAGCCACCAAGACTCCTGTGGGGATTTTAGCATGGCCACTTGCCTGGCCTTGTGTGCTTAATGCTTGGCCACTCATCTGGCCTTTTGGAGCCACTACCTAGCTCATATGTTGAATACTGCCACCATCAGCCAAGACCAAATCCTGGTCTACTTTCTCTTTCTCAAACTCAACAGGCCTCTTCTCCAAATGCTTATCAACCTGTTTCTTTGCCTTCACTATTGTTCCAAATTATGCTAGAATGTCCCACCGGGCGTGCCAAAAATTGTTAGTAAAAATTAAACACAGTAATTTCAGAATGAAACTACTGAAGTTCACTCAGTTACAAACCGTAAATTATAGAAGAAACTACTTCTAAGTTACAATAAACTACTCCTAAGTCTAAAAGCTATGTCTTGTCAAGTTGTTGATGATCCTCATCTCTCTGCAAATCTCTAGCTTTATAGCTGTCCCCACTTCTCTAGCCCACGACCCCATGATACTCCTAGTCTGCAACAGCTGCTGCATAACTGCTGCAACTGCCCCTCTTATTTCCAAAGACTCAAGCTCCCTTAAGTCTTCAATTTTGCCTGTCGAATGGCTCCCCCTACATGATGCCACGTATCCATCATCATTTTTAGCCCTCCTCCAACAGAGAGAAACACCCACTTTGTGCATGACTCATCTTGCAAGTTGCCCATTAAACCCATGACCTTCTGCCAATAACTGCTCCACTATCTGAGCCACCCCACACATAGGATCCAACTTTCATTGGTGACATTTGTCCTCTGATTTATGCAAGATCCCCATTTTGACCCTGCCACATGCCATTACCTGACTGGTCCACCTATCGACAAAATCCAACGAAAATGGGTGCAAACAACAGGTTAGATTGGTTATGTGGAATGAGAGATTGGAAGCGTGTTTGCTCATGGGTTAAGTGGAGTATTTCATTCCCAGTGTTCTATGATTGACACACATTTATGAAGTTCAAAAAACAAAAATGGAATTGTGTAATTAGTCCCAGGACTAGCGATGCTTTGCGAAATAATGCTAGGCTATTGAGATAGAATTTGTTTATAATATGAGCAAGCTGACATGTGGATGTTGAGCAGGATGAGTGCCAAAAAAAGAAGGTTCAAGTTACAATTGAACACACGCGGAGAGACTCTGCAACGAAGACCAATATGGTGATGGGTTGAGAATGGGAATAACAAAGGGTTGGGTGGCCTGATTGTGGTGTTTTGTTGGCACGAGAAAATAGAAGATAATTAATTATGTTTTGAATAAAGTGTAAAGTGGTGATTTAATCAAATATTTTTCATGACCATCATCAAATACAGTAGCATCATTAACGGATCTTTACTGGCATGGACCAAATTGCTGTGAAATTTAAAATTTAAGGTAGTTCGGTGTAATTTTTCCAAAAACTATGGGGCTAGCTGTAATATTCCCAAGCCTCAAGGGAAATTAGTATAATTTATCCCAAATAAAAATTGGGAAAATAAGGTCTTAGAATTCTGGAAGTATGTAGCTTTTAAAAGATGTTTGAAGGAACTGGCAGGCAATTGGTTTGTTTTATACTAATTTATGCATTTTGTCTTTTCTTTGACATCTGCAACTAAGAAAGTGCTTATTCACATTTGCAGAGTCCATGCATTCTCCTTTATCGAAAACCAAACCGGGTATCCAACAACAACCATTGGATGATAACATCGTAACAAAAACTGAACCAAGTCACAAGGAGCCCGATGAAAATGGCATGGTTAAATCTGCTCATCAAGTTGTTGCTGAAACGCCGGAGAGTGCTGTTGCAGTCCCGTCTGGTGATAGTTTGTTTTCGAAGGTTGAATTGTTGCATCCAAATGGAAAGATACAACCAGAGATCAAGAAAGAGATGTAGTTAGTACAAAAGTTATCAACTTACCTCTGAAATGCATAGGTATGATTTTTAGCTGTTCTTGATTCTGTCATAGTATAGTCTTGTGTCTGATGTTAGAACTGTTGGTTGAAGTCATAACGCAACTCAACGAGCTTTTGTCCCAATTATTTGGGTCAGCTAAATTACAACTGACTTGTTGTATGGTCCATCATTAATATATATTTATGGTTCATTTAAATCATTTCTCTCAGCTTCATCTATCTTGTCCTGGTGTGTTGTGCAAGTGTAATTCATTTTTTATTTGCCTTTGTATGTTTTAAGATGGCACACGTTTGATTCTCAGACCTTGTAGTGGCAAGAGTCTCGTGTACTGTCTGCCTTCTTTATGTTTTGAGATCTCATCTCGGGACAAATAAAATGATGTTTATTGTTGAAGGAATTAATCCGTATGAATTTAGTGGAATCATAGAGTAAGGATAGGAGCAAAATTACCTCTTGTAGGGAAGAAGAAAAATGCCGTCTGAATTTAGTGTTCTTATTGCTTTTTTCTTGTCGAGTACTGTCATACAAATAGAAAATGAGAGTGAGAGAGAGTACCCTTTAAATGAGGTCCATTTTATGAAATGCATGTCATTGTGCATTTCACATGACAAGTCTACAATTGATTAACTATTGACAAATGGTTAGAGTTAAATATTTGAATACTATTTCATGCGACCTTTTATCTAATAATAATCATATCATGTAATGGTCCTATGGAATAATGTATTTCACATGTGATAGTCGATTGAGAATTTGATTCTAAACCTTTTTCTCTTTGTTGATTGGATGAGTTCAATATTATTTTTATTTTTATTTTAAATGTCATATCTCATTCTTACACTAAAAAATTATTCATTGTCATATGCGACACTGTTGTACAGTGTATCTTAACCATGGATTGGTGTAGGTCGCGCTAGTTAACAGTTGACATCCTGTGAATACCTTCTATACCTGACAACGTGCAAGAGTATGTCTAATTTACTTTTTATTAAATATGTCAGATAAAAGTAGAATGAGTTTAACATATACAAAGCATGTATTTACACTCAATCTCAAAAAATTAATAGGCCAAGTCATAATCACTAATTAAGATCCAAAATTTGATTTGTTTATATTATATGATGAGCAAGGGTACAAAAAGAGAGGCATGCCAACCATCTTTGAATTTTGTCACTGTTCAAACACTTGAATGACATTAACTAACATACAATTTTATTACTACTAATAATAATAATATAAGATTTTTAATAATGTGATTTCTATTCCATATTTCATATAAATATACTTATTATTTTCTTGAAATACAAACATGAGTTAAAATTACAGTAGATCTTTGTCCATAGACGGAGCTTTCCTTGGGCCTTCGTTAGGTGGCTTTTTGTGAAATATGTTGTGTTCATTCATGGCACACTCACTCACTTAGCTGGAAAGTAACATGTTGCTCTTCTCAATCTTCTCTCCACTAATTGCTTGCTAGTACTCTTCTGTCACATACCATCTTTTTCATAAAGAAGAAAAAACGTTAATTAACGAAACAACCCCTCACAGTCCAGTCAGAAACTTCCAGCTACCAAACAAAAAAATTTGTTTATTTTTTTATATTCCATAAATATATATTATTTAGGGTTAATTGGTGAAAAATTCATTCTTATGATACCAAAAGTCAAACGTTTATTCTTTTTTTTGAGATAAAGATATACGTTGAAAAGTCACCAGAAAATTGACCAAAAAAGTTGTCAAAAAGTGACCGGCAGCTATGGCTAGTGGTGGTGAGATGAACAGATAAGTGACATTGTATATAGGTGATATATGTACAAATAGTTAGATATATAGATAACATGTGTTCGAATATGTAATATTTGAACAAATATACAAATAAGTAAATTTTGAACATGCTCAAAAAGTTTAAGTTTAGGCCTATTGACCTACCAGTTTTAGAAATAGACATCTGGCCAAAATGCCCTATTATTTTTAATACATTTTTTTTCATACTTCCAATATAAAATTAATTTAAATACAAATATTAATGTAAATATACATGTATCTTAAAATATAAATTTGTGTTCAAAAGGCACTCACATTTTTAACCTATTGTCATATTTATAGTATTTTTTTTATTTATATATAATTTTTAATATATTTATGAGATAATTAATTTAAACTGCTTTGAAAATAAAACTAAATTCAACATTCTTCTAATACAATTCTTTTCTTCTAATAATGTGGCGATGACTAAATTTTGATTCCAATTTCTTTTAATCCAAATTTGAATAACAGTAATTTTCAAATAAATATATTAACAACATATAAATAAAAAATATGAGTGTACATGATAGAGAAAAAAAATATATTTTGTTTCGTTATTTAGTTTTCAAAATCAAATTTAAAATTTTCAATTCGAATTTATTTATTTTTAGGTATTATTTTAATATTTTGATCAATTTAGTTTTAGTTTTTAGATGCAATTAGTCTAGACGTACTCTAAAAGTAAAATATTGTGAAAAAATTATTTAAAAAATCAATTAATACTACTAAGGGTTATTTTGGATGTTTATAAATTAGTTTTTTGCTTATTATTAAAAGACGTACATAAAAGTAGAGATGTAATGTGATCTAAATAAGTCAATAAACAAATAAATAAATAAAAATGATGCCAAATTAGTACACATTAATGTGTGTTTAGGAGGGGAAAGATTGAACCAATGGCCATTCCTAAGTCAATAAACAAATAAGTTAGCTTTTTTAAATGTTGCCAAAAGAGGCCTAAATATAAAAAAAATAACAATAATCATAATCATAAAAACTATTGGTGTAATTTGCTCAATTTTTAAAAAAATTCTTCACAAATATTTACATTTTGAATACATTTACATTAGATGTATTTAAAAAATAAAAATGTTCAAAATATTAAGGTTTGGCAAAATTTACAATAAACTATTCCTTGTTTACAAAAAATATTAAACATATTTATATTTATTTTTAGTAAAGACGAAAAAAAATATGTTTAGTACATAAGTATTTTAAAATTTTGTGTTTGAAAACAAGTAAAAATGGGGGGCTTTTCCCATATTAAGCCTCTTTTACATCTTATTTTCCAAACTAGGCCTAGTTTGGACTAGGCTAAAGCGTTATTACAAATCGCGCTTTTACTGTTTGGAGTCCAAAATTTGATGAATAGTGAAAGCGCTATTGCAAAATGCACTTTTAATTAATAAATCGCTATTCCAAATCGCGCTTTTAGCATAAAATTTTTTTTTTGAAGAAAACGCTATTTGAAATCGCGCTTTCACCGTGCGTATAAAATTTTTTTTTTTTTAGAAAACGTTATTTCAAATAACGTTTTTACTGTTGCAACACAAACCAAAACCAAAACCAACCCACACTCTCACTCTGACATAGGCACACACCCACACACACTGAAGCATTGAAATAATATAATTTTTATAATTTTTGTAAATATAAATTATTTTTAGGTTATAGATGGTTTGATTTATAATACGTATGTAAGGGTAAAAATTTTTATAATCAAAAATAATTTTTGCAATTTTTATAATCGATTTTTAGGTTATGGATGGTTTGATTTATCATTTAAGTCATTTATAAAAAAATTTACCCTTAAACCATACGTATGTAAATGTGAAGATGGGTTTACTGTAAATGTAAATGTGAAGATACGTATTAAATTATTTACATACGTATTAATTATAAATTTTTATAAATTATTTTTGAATAATACATACGTATTATAAAATGTGAAGATCGGTTTACTGTAAAAAAATTTAAATAAAAAATGTAAAGATTTAAATAATACATACGTATTATAAATTATTATAAAAAATTTTATAATACATACGTATTGTAAAATTTTATTAATAATTTATTTTATAAAATAATTATTATATATTTATTAATAATTTATTTAAAGTAAATATAAAATACATACGTATTATAAATTATTTTTGATAATTTATAAATTATTTTTTATTATAAAATTTGCAAAAATTATTTTTGATTATAAAAATTTTTACTTTTACATACGTATTATAAATCAAACCATCTATAACTTAAAAATGATTTATATTTACGAAAATTATAAAAATTATATAATTGATTATTATAAATTATTATTATATATAAAAATTATATTATTTCAATGCTTCAGTGTGTGTGGGTGTGTTCGTATGTCAAAGTGAGAGTGTGGGTTGGTTTTGGTTTTGGTTTGTGTTGCAACTGTAAAAACGTTATTTGAAATAACGTTTTCTAAAAAAATAAAAAAAATTTATACGCACAGTGAAAGCGCGATTTCAAATAGCGTTTTCTTCAGAAAAATTTTTTTATGCTAAAAGCGCGATTTGAAATAGCGATTTATTAATTAAAAGTGCGTTTTGCAATAGCGTTTTCACTATTCATCAAATTTTGGACTCCAAACAGTGAAAGTGCGATTTGTAATAGCGCTTTAGCTTAGTTTGAAAAATCCGTCCAAATTAGACTTAATTTGGGAAATAAGATGTAAAAGAGGCTTAATATGGAAAATGTCCCTAAAAATGGAGGCCATGGAAGGAGATTTATTGACGATCGGAGATAGTGGCCTTAGGTGTTATTGACAATCAAAGGTAATGGCCGAATGTAATTATTAGACAATTAACAATACTTAAAGGTGATTATTGATCACAAGAAGTGTTGGTTGTTATCGGTAGTCGGCAGTGGCTATATAAATATACTTAATAAATAAAATTGAGACAGGAACAGGATGGATCGGGACGGGAGAGAGTTATGAAACGCCATTTCAAATGGGAAAAAAAAAAAAAAAAAAAAAAAATAAAAAAAAAAAAAAAAAAAAACTTTTTTGTGTTTGTTTATAACATTTTAAAAATCAACAATGATAGGTGGTCAAAAAAAGATGGCTCGAATGGTTCGAAATACCCAAAATGATATAAAATAATGTCATTTTGACACATTCAAGCCATTCGAGCTACAAAAATTCGGCCAGTCAAATATTTTCCTTTAAAAATAAAAACAGAAACCAAACCAGATTTTGTTTACAGTTGTCGAGAGAGGAAAAAAAAAAATACAAAAATACAAACGTCAGCAAAGAGACCCAAATTTGGTGTCAACTTACCCGCTCTTCGTCGGTCGATAAATACCGATCGATCGAAGCTCGTCGTCACCAACAAGTAATTGAGTGTATCTGCATATCGGAAAATGGAAACTATCGATGCCGCCAAGCTTCGCTCCGAGTTCCTTCAAGTTCTTCGCAGTCGACGATCTTCTGAAGGTCTGAATTTCAAATTATAATCTCAATTGATCTCTCTGATTTGATTTGTTGAGTTCAAATTACTCACTCTTGTTTTTTCATGATCTGAGACTGTGAAATACACTTTCAAATTACTTCTTCTTTTGTATTGCTCTCTTTCTGTGTCTGGAAATGTCGAATCTATCACTCACTCACCTCGATATGTCCAAGTGTGAAGTAATAATGTCAAATTAGTTGATAGGTCTTTCGTTTCGACTTTTGATTTTTGTTGAGCACAAATTGGTTGCTGCTAATCATAGATGGATTGTATTGTAGACCTTGTTCGTTCCTCAATTTGAATGGCAATTACTTTCCGAGGGATGAAAAATATGGAATCAAGCATATAGAACTTGAGAATTTAACATATTGAAAAATGTGTAGCTATGTGGTTACTGATTTATTTTTTTATTTTTTAATGGAGCGGTGAGTCAAATTATGTTGATGTTGCTAAGTCACTAATTTTGAAGTTTAAGCTGATAGGTGATGGGCCCTACAATATATATCAAGTATTTCAACCGTCTCATATGCAAGGTTTTAAATAATGGTGACGGTTACCGTAACGTTAAGGTAACTTTGATGCGGTTGCGGGGTGTAACTGTTATAGCGTAACAATGGTGGCAACAAAACCATGAATTTTTTAATTCTTCACCCAATTTTAGGAAAAACATACCAATACTTTGTTTTCCTCTTGGACAAACGATGAAAAGAGGAATACAAAGTGTTATTTATGATGTACATAGAAAATATTAGAGTTAATTATACTAAAATTCCCTCAACTATTAATGAATATCACTTTACCTCCTCATCTATGAATCCGTACATATTGACACTCTACTATAAAAATCGCCCAAATAAACCCCCTTTGGAGGTGGTCTAGTGAAGTGATACCATTTTATAGTTGAGGGGGCAAAATATATGGGTTCATAGACAAAGAGGGTAAAGTAATATTTGCTAATAGTTAAGGGTGGTCTTGGTGTAAATAACCCAAAATATTAAGGTCAAAGCTATGGTTTTTTTTTTTTAGGCAAAGGAATAGATAAAGAGCACTCTCTATAAAAAGCTATGTTTTTGTGGGATGTAAATGATGCAATGCAAATTACATTATGTTAACGTTTTTTGTTTCCGAAGCTACCATTTGCTAATAGTTAAGGGTGGTCTTGGTGTAAATAACCCAAAATATTAAGGTCAAAGCTATGGTTTTTTTTTTAGAGGCAAAGGAATAGATAAAGAGCACTCTCTATAAGGCCAAGCTATGTTTTTGTGGGATGTAAATGATGGGGCAATGCAAATTACATTATGTTAACATTTTTTGTTTCCGAAGCTACCAAAGGCATTGGATTTCAAAATTTTGAGACTTGGGACAAGGGAGAGGGGGGTCTGTCTCTTTTTTATTTTATATGGTTCTAGATTGTGTTTGTTTTAACCTAAGTAAATACTTCCCACTAATTACATACAAAGTTTTTAAAGGCGAATGCGTAGTGTGAGGTGTTTTACCCCTCATGAGGCATGGCGTAAGCCTTAAGGCGTTGTGGCTTAAGCATTTCAAATTCTGAATTTTTATATTTAGTAAATAATTTATATATTTTAAAACAATAAATAAATACATCAAAATTAAATATAAAGGTGTAAATACTTTTCTGCTCAAGGCTCACTGCAGAGAAGGAAGCTTTGCTCTTTTGAAAGTAAAATTGGTTTCCTTAGCTTTAGTGATTGAGCTTCTCACTGAGCATTAACTTTGTGTTTTTTCTTGATTGCTCATTTACTTAATTTTTCCTACAGAATATAGTTGCAAAAGGGGTTTTTTTATTTTTTTGCTTTTTTATGCTTAAACAAGAACCTAAGACAAAATTTAACAAAAACCTAAGACAAACTCTTCATATGCGTACTCCTCACATGCTTATACGTAAAAGGTGTACGAGACATACCTAAGGTGCATGTCTCAGATTGTGTGTGCAAGCCTTTGGGGAATAAAGCCTAAAAATCAAAGCCTTGAGGCATTGTGCCTTGGCCTTGCCTCAAGGCGAGCATCAAGGCAAGCATCAAGGCAAGCCTCAGTAAAGCCTTTTAAAATGTTGATTACAAATAACGATAATTTTTAAAAGAGCTGCAACTGCAAGTTTTTGTGGTTCGGAAGCCCATTAAGTTCTAATCATACTGGAAAAGATTATTGCATTTGAATTTTTTACTGTTCAATAAAATTTGGAAATTATTTACTTGGTAGTTTTTGTATCTTCTTGAGTAAAATATAGTCTTATAAGCAAGCATAATTTTATATCTATTCATTTATCTTGTAGAAATTTAATGTATAAAGAGAAATAGAGAATTGTATTATTGATTGATTTATATTGATATCAATTACAATGATTCATGATTCCTATATATAGAAGAGGGTGAGTGTGTAGTAGGTAAGGAGTAGGTGAAGTGGAGGTGGTAGTGGTGTAGTGGGTTAGGCTTAGTGGAGTAGGTTTAAGTGGGTGAAGTAGGTGATAGGTTTAGTGGAGTAGGTGAGGTGGTAGTGGTGTAGTGGATTAGGTTTAGTGGAGTAGGTGAGGTGATAGTGGTGTAGTGGGTTAGGTTTAGTGGAGTAGGTGAGATGGTAGTGGTGTAGTGGGTTAGGTTTAGTGGAGTAGGTGAGATGGTAGTGGTGTAGTGGGTTAGGTTTAGTGGAGTAGGTGAGATGGTAGTGGTGTAGTGGGTTAGGTTTAGTGGAGTAGGTGAGATGGTAGTGGTGTAGTGGGTTAGGTTTAGTGGAGTAGGTGAGATGGTAGTGGTGTAGTGGGTTAGGTTTAGTGGAGTAGGTGAGATGGTAGTGGTGTAGTGGGTTAGGTTTAGTGGAGTAGGTGAGATGGTAGTGGTGTAGTGGGTTAGGTTTAGTGGAGTAGGTGAGATGGTAGTGGTGTAGTGGGTTAGGTTTAGTGGAGTAGGTGAGATGGTAGTGGTGTAGTGGGTTAGGTTTAGTGGAGTAGGTGAGATGGTAGTGGTGTAGTGGGTTAGGTTTAGTGGAGTAGGTGAGATGGTAGTGGTGTAGTGGGTTAGGTTTAGTGGAGTAGGTGAGATGGTAGTGGTGTAGTGGGTTAGGTTTAGTGGAGTAGGTGAGATGGTAGTGGTGTAGTGGGTTAGGTTTAGTGGAGTAGGTGAGATGGTAGTGGTGTAGTGGGTTAGGTTTAGTGGAGTAGGTGAGATGGTAGTGGTGTAGTGGGTTAGGTTTAGTGGAGTAGGTGAGATGGTAGTGGTGTAGTGGGTTAGGTTTAGTGGAGTAGGTGAGATGGTAGTGGTGTAGTGGGTTAGGTTTAGTGGAGTAGGTGAGATGGTAGTGGTGTAGTGGGTTAGGTTTAGTGGAGTAGGTGAGATGGTAGTGGTGTAGTGGGTTAGGTTTAGTGGAGTAGGTGAGATGGTAGTGGTGTAGTGGGTTAGGTTTAGTGGAGTAGGTGAGATGGTAGTGGTGTAGTGGGTTAGGTTTAGTGGAGTAGGTTTAAGTGGGTGAAGTAGGTGATAGGTTTTAACACAATATCTAGGGAATTTTTAGATTTATCAAAAAGAAAAAGAAAGTTGAGTGGGGAACAGGAGTGTGTGGAAAGAAAAAAGAAAAAATATGGGTTGGAGAATCTGAGCATCGGAGAAGATGAAAGGAAAAGGAAGTGGAGTGGTATATGCCAAGTGGTACAGCAAAATCTACGTCCCAAACTTTGTTTCAGCGATGGAAAACATCAGTGTACAGATGAGAACATCTGGATTCGGAGTAGCTGTCACAGGAGAAACATAATCCCTTTTCTTAACAAACCGAGCAAAACCAAACAATCCCAATAGGAGCGTCCAGAAGGACAGCTCGGAGATGAAGTCTCTCACGGCTGCAAAACCGATTAAGCCAGCTACTGTAAAACCGAAGGCTGCCGTGAAGCTGAAAGCTGCAGTGACGCTCAAGGCTGTGGCGAAGCCCAAACCAATGCCGAAGGCGAAGGATCCTAACAAGAGGCAAATGAGCATGGAGGAGAAGCATAGATTGAGTGTTGGGTTGCAGAGTTTGCCCCAGGAAAAGATGCCACAGTTAGTGCAGATTATGAAGAAGAGGAATTCACATTGACCTCAAGAGAGAGGATTTAGGCAGTGATGGGAAGGTTTTAGTGATTGAGCTTCTCACTGAGCATTAACTTTGTGTTTTTTCTTGATTGCTCATTTACTTAATTTTTCCTACAGAATATAGTTGCAAAAGGTTTTTTTTTATTTTTTTGCTTTTTTATGCTTAAACAAGAACCTAAGACAAAATTAAACAAAACCTAAGACAAACTCTTCATATGCGTACTCCTCACATGCTTATACGTAAAAGGTGTACGAGACATACCTAAGGTGCATGTCTCAGATTGTGTGCGCAAGCCTTTGGGGAATAAAGCCTAAAAATCAAAGCCTTGAGGCATTGTGCCTTGGCCTTGCCTCAAGGCGAGCATCAAGGCAAGCCTCAGTAAAGCCTTTTAAAATGTTGATTACAAATAACGATAATTTTTAAAAGAGCTGCAACTGCATGTTTTTGTGGTTCGGAAGCCCATTAAGTTCTAATCATACTGGAAAAGATTATTGCATTTGAATTTTTAACTGTTCAATAAAATTTGGAAATTATTTACTTGGTAGTTTTTGTATCTTCTTGAGTAAAATATAGTCTTATAAGCAAGCATAATTTTATATCTATTCATTTATCTCTTTCTCACATTTTTACGTCCCACCAAATTTCTTTGAATTTTGCAGTTACACTGTCTGTAGAACTTGGAAAACCTGTGGCAGATCCCATGTATCGACAAACTCCCCTGCCAAGCTTCAGTGAGGTTAAAATCTCCTTGAGTATTTGTATCTTATCTGTTGGAATTTCTGCGTTGTTCCATTCTAGTTTATCTCTCTGACATTTTACCAGGCAATGGAGTCTTGTCCAAAGGCAGACATTCCCAATCTTAAGGATCTACTTAAAGAGGAAAATGTGTACTTGATCACTGAGGTTTGTGGATTTTTGAATCTTGGTCATATATGTCTGCTTCTTGAATTAGCCTCTTTTTTTTCCTTTTAATTACTGTGATGAAACATTCAAATATTTAAAAGGGACAGGTAACATAATTCTATTTCATGATAAATAATTGGATTGAATCTACCATGACATTCTTCTTTCCAAATAATTCAAAGATTTTGGATAAGTAGGGTGCTTTTTTGATTTAAATAGAATGAAAATTTTACTGCCTCTTTTCGAAGTTTTGTTTATTGTTTCCCTGGTTGATTAGCTTTTATCAGTTAAAATGATGGAGATTTTCATGATCTTACAACCTAGCCACAAGAAGTTAATCATTTAATGCCTCAAATCACAGTCTTTTCCCAAGTATTCTGATCACATAGCACCCTGAATAATTCTTTTGTTTATTTGCTGTGATATATGGACAACATCATCTATATCTCCCCTCTGATTATAGATGATTGGTTAAAAATAAGAACAATAGCTCGTTTGGGTATCTCTTACTTTTTGCATACCTTGCTTTAGCTTTGTACAATTCTTTGATTTTAAAGCATCTGTCTTTAGTTTTTGGTACCTAACAACGCATTCCACCTAAGCAATCACCCACCCCACACACACATGAAAATCCTCTTCTTTTTTATTTCTGTTTTTCTTATTTGTAAATGACGATGAAGACCATTTAGTTTGTAAGAAGTCACATGCTTAATTATTATTGTTGTAAAGGCAAAATCTCTATGACACTCACATGAACACGAGAACATTACGGTGTTCAACAACTTGTCTGTCCATGGAATAGAGGGAGGTCAGAATCCACCATCAATGGTGAATTGTCATTACTTGAAACCATGTTTTGCCTCTCAACTCTCCCATGAAATATGTTTTTAACCACCCAAAAACCAAACTCTCTTAAAAGATTAGTGTACACACAACTGTGTCAGGTAAAAAGTGAAACTATTCCAATTTTGGGCTGGCCAAAAGTACTTTACAAGGCTTCCAATTTCTGAAACCGAGTAGATCCTAGAGCTTGTAATTCAACCTACAAAAACTAATATGTGATTATGAATTATGACGTGGAAGTTTCTATGGTAGCTATGCACCTGATGGGCTTTAATGAATGCACTATTCCTTTATACCTCCACATTTGCTGACTGTGGGCATGAAATGTATTAACTGTACTCATGGTCGTAAGTAGGCAGGAGAGCAAGGGCGCTTACCTGTGCTGATTTTGAGCATTAATGAAAGCAATCATCAAAGGAAGCCGGCTGTTGTATTTTTGCATAGCACACATAAGTGCAAAGAGTGGTTACGGCCATTGCTTGAGGTACCTATTTTGAGGTTTTCTCAGACCTGCAGTTTTTATCAGATTGACTTTGTTAACACAGGAGATCATCCTATATTTTTCCATTTGTTCAGGCATATGCTTCTCGTGGATATATAGCTGTTTCCATTGATTCTCGTTACCATGGAGAACGTGCCAGCAGTATGACCACCTATCGAGATGTGTGTATTGAATACTGATGTTTTGATTTAACTTTGCAATATGGGCCTGGTCAAAACAAATAAATAATAAACAAAAGAAAAAACTTGTTCGTATTCTCTTACTATATGACCTACCACCTTATTCAGGTAAATAGTTTGGTGTTAGGCATGATCAAAAACTAAATCTGAGCAAGTAATATTCCAAAACGAGAGAATTTTGTGTTGCTGCAGTGAGATACGACTCCTATGGATTCTCTCATGTTTCAAATCTGGGAATGAGTTCATAACCCAGGTTGCGAACAACATTGTTGTCCCTAATATGGTTTTACTACTATCATGCAGGCTCTCGTTTCATCATGGAAACAAGGTGATACAATGCCATTCATATTTGATACGGTAATTTCTTCATTCATTCTGTTTTGAAACATATAGTTTGACGAGTCTGTAACAGTATATATAAAATATTTCAGAATCCAATGTAATTAATGAATAAAGAAACTCAACTGAAAACTTTGCATTCTGCAGGTCTGGGACTTGATAAAACTGGCTGATTATCTTATACAGAGGGAGGATATAGACCCTTCTAAGATAGGAATTACCGGTGAATCGCTTGGAGGTTGGAACTTGGAAGAATAAAATTGAAAAAAAAAAACCAACCATAAATTTCATTGTTGCTATAACATGCGTAGAGTAATTCTTAAATGTAGGAATGCATGCGTGGTTTGCTGCTGCTGTTGACACCCGCTATGCTGTAGCTGTACCAATAATTGGGGTGCAGGTTTGTCATATCCAAAGTTTTATGCGATAAGTGAGGATTTCTTAAATTTTTGTATTGGACAACGGTACGGAAGAGTTGACTATTTATGCAATATGGTCTTAGGGCTTTCGATGGGCTATAGACCATGACAAGTGGCACAGTCGGGTTGACAGTATCAAGGCTGTTTTTGAAGGTGAGGCACAGAAAGATGAAATTAATTAATTTCAAACATCAGAAAGAAAAGGAAATTAACTGACTTAGTTTGTAATTCACTTCTACGGGTTTGCTCTGGAATCAGCAACTTCTACAAAATTCATTTTTGTGGAGGCTTCTCATATTCAAAATACTTTGATGTTGTTGATATTTGAGCACTTAAAAGTAAATTCCAACCTGTAGTTGTAACCATCCATAAGAAAAAGAGTAATCAATGGTTAAACTGTAAGGACCTTTTGTAAATGTTTGCATAACTGACTCTTTATGGAACATGTGTCATTCAAAGTATTGAGCTTCTTGAAGCATATTTCTTGAATTGAATGCATCTATTGTTTTTGTGATACTACTAGTTTTTGGTTTCAGAAGCACAGATTCATCTAGGGAAGAGTGCTATTGATAAGGAAGTGGTGGAGCAGGTCAGTTACAATTTATTTGGTTGGGGGATTTGGGAATGGATTTAGAAAGGGAAAGGGAAAATGTAGGTAAAATGTGAATAAAATATACTTATATTTCACCTAGTTTCACATACATTTTCTTTTTTCCTTTTCAAATCGTTTTCCAAATTCCCTAACCAAACACTGTGTTACAGTTCAATTCTATACATCTAAATAAGCTGCAATATTACCATGTGATCACAATCACAACTAAGCTACGTGGAGATTTTAGCTTTATCACCTATTGTACATATATCAAAAGTGTGGTTTCAGAAAATCAAATCATCTAATGCTTTTTTCACCCGGGGGAACGACTCTTTTCTCTGGATCTTGAAAAGCCATCAATCCCTGGTTTTTGTGCCAGTTATACTATTCTAGCTGCAGAAGGCATTTTTATCCTCCAATAAGCAGCTTGCATGTTGAGCTTTCTACTCTTTGGAAGTCAGATCACATGTAATATGATTTCTTTTTCCAATCAGGTTTGGATCAGAATTGCTCCTGGCTTAGCCTCCAAGTTTGATTCACCTTATTCAATTCCAATTATTGCACCACGGCCTCTGCTGATCTTAAATGGTATGACCATTTCCGGCGTAAAAATTTGCTAAGTGCACATAATCCGATTATAGAACTGAACACAACCCTCTCACTTGCATGAGGTAAGAGGACCCATTAAATGTGTGGGTGTTCAGTGATCAAATTCTGTGCACATAGAAGAGCTACTTATGGCACTCCAGTCATCAATGAACTAGGTTCTCTTTCTTAGAAGCAAAGAACATACTTGGAATGTAACATATTTTTTTAACATACAGGTGAAAAAGATCCTCGATGCCCAATTGAAGGTCTGGAAATTCCCAAATCAAGAGCATGCAAGGCTTATGAAGATGCCCATTGTCCAGATAATTTCAAGGTATTGTATGAAACTCTGTCATTTGATCAACTGACAATGGTCACAAATGTCAAGAGAGACAGAGAGAGGGGCATAGCTAAAACTGTTTCTGTACTTTGAACTTCCAACCATATGATATTTTTTGGTTCTAACAGTTCATTTCTTTGAATTGATTTCTAGGTGATAGCACAACCTGGAATTGGACACAAAATGACGCCATTGATGGTGAAAGAAGCCAGTGACTGGTTTGATACATTCCTCAAGTAAAACAGCAATAGCTCCCTCATTGTTAGGAATATTATTTGTGTAGATGTATCATCAATGTTCGTTGCATCTCAATTTGTTAGGACATATGATTTTCACTCTTTTGAGTAGTCTCTATTTAAGAAAAGCTGAACAATTGATGTATGCACAATGTGCAAGTCTCCCTACAAAGCTTTAATTATCTACTAATCTTTGGCTCTGCAGCTCAAACCCAACAAGTAGTGTGGATTTCGGTCATCCAGCTAAGAACTTAACTCTTTTTTCTTTTTTTTCATTTTTTTTTTTCTTTTTTTTTAACTCAGCTAGAAACTCTTACTTTAACCTGCGTTATTTGTTTCAAAACCTTTTCTCAATGGACAAATGGCGGGAAAAAGGGGAAAAAATAATTGAAAAAATCATAATTGTTATAAAATGAAGAAAATGTAAAAACATACAAAATAATAAATTGTAAAGCAAATAAAAGAATAAATTTAACGCAAGATTTCATGTACTGCTTGCTTACAAGAGCTTGAAACTTTTTTTTTTTTTTTAAATCAGCAACAATATATATATATATATATATTAGAAAAGAAAAAAAGTATTAAGAGAAATGGAAAAAAGCAAAGCCAAAGGAAAACCAAAAATCTCACAGTACATATCAGTCTTCATATCTCTAGAATTTTTTTTGGAAAAAAATTTTTTTTGGAAAAAAAAAAAAAAACACCAAAAAAAAAAAAAAAAAACACAAAAAAAGATCTAAAGTAACAGACTTTATCCCATAAAGAACCAACCTCTCCCAAATAACTCAAACAAAAAAACAAAAAAAATGCATAAAAAACACAATCCCATAAGAATAATAACTTTATCATTGTTCTCGAAACGTAAAAAAATCGATCAAAAGCATTTGAGAACACGATGCCAAAACTGCCCAACAAATCTCTTAACATTTGAAAAAACGAATGCCATAAAAACAGAACCAATGGGCAATACAAAAATCCATAGATTCCCCATTTGCTCACATCATGCACCATTGAGGACGAAGATTGCAAGTAAGTCTTGAACTTTGTATAATCACCTTTATTTCTCCAGAGAATTTCTAATCAGGAGTAAATGTTGATTTAACTGAACCTTTACAATGTAATCGCACCTTGACACCAAATTAAAGTCTCAGCAACCTTTTTTTCACGACTCTACTTTGTCGACAGATATAAGATGTAACGTAACAGAAAATCTTAACAAATAAACCTCTGGAGATTTGGTAAAGGAGAAGATTTTCCCGAAACTTCCAAGTACTTTTAAGCCGTGTTTGGATGGGAAACCCTTCATTTCTTTTTTTCTTTCCCCTTCACAAATCCTAATATTCAAACATAGTTTTACAACAAACTTGAGCCGTTAGTAATCTGCATGAGTTATTCCATTGTCGACAACCAAAAGAATCGAAATATAAATTATTCTCTAGGCCTAAAATAAGCAAAATATTTCAATAACTGAAAGTACTGAAGCATATTTCAGATACAAAAAAAAAAAAAAAAAAAAAAAAAAAAAAGAAAAAAAAAAAAAAAAAAAAAAAAAAAAAAAAAAAAAAAAAGAAGAGGAAAATAGCAAATAAACAAAAAGTAGTACACAAACAGCACAACTAATTACAGTTTTGGTTCAGAGGTTACAAGAAGTTCCTTCAAGTTTTTTGTCACAATAGTTGCATGCAACACAGATAAAGAGTTTTTTTGTCACAATAGTGTCATTAGTCGAGTCACCCCTTCTTTGACATAGCCGCAAGCCTAGTGTATGTCCTTGCCATAGACTGGTATCCTCAGATATCGCCAGAGCGCAGAAGATTGCCTGTGCAAAAAAAAAAGCAAGAATGAACCCTTAGCACGACAAATGCAAGCATGTAAACACCTCAAAGTTATACAAGCTGCGTAAATGGGAACAAAAGACAAGCGAACATTTAAATAAGGAGATAGAACTTGAGGTGGGTGTTAATCATCATCCCCATTCTAACATTTCAATCTTTTGTAACTTGGAGCATCTCCAATGGTTCACTTCCTGAAACTCTAGCTATTGCTATTTGCTCTATTTTTTTACTTTAATCACAACTATTGAATTGTTATTTTCCATCTTCAATTATATCCACTTATCAACATCTCTGTCTCTCCCTCTCTCTTCTCTCTCTATATATTTGATGGGTTGGCAATTTTACCTATAGCTATTCCTCGTGTCAAATATAGCGCAAAGAAATAGCAATGCTACATTACAACAGTGGTTTTACCTCACCATTAGACAGGTGATTTTGGGACTTCTTGTTATTCTTTAGCAATAGCAAGACTTCTACCTGACCATTAGAGAAGCTCTTAGCAGCAATCAAATACATTTTCATGATTTCCAGCTGAATAAGGTTTCATCTAATAAGTAAAAACACAACAACAATTAACATCATCACCATTATGAGGTATTGCATGCATTGTAGCATGAGGCGGGAGTACGACAAAGTATGAATTAACCTAGCAACTACTTCCCCACTATCACAAACAAAAAGAAGCTTGATAGGAGCAAGAGCTAAGAGAATAAAGCAAACTTGACGTCACAAAACCAGAAATTGCAATCGCTAAAATTCAAGATATATGCAATTTCTACTGTACTTCACTTAGAAAGAAAAGTCCATTTTTCAGCATGTACTAATTCCTATGTTTTGTCGTTCAGTCACCACCCTTGCGCTCATCCACACAGCATAATTTATCATAAACCTATGTTATATGAACTCGGGTACAAGTATTAGGTATGGGTGCATGTCCAAGTGTTAGACTTTCATAAATTTAAATTTTTAAGATATTGTGAAACATATCCAATATAGAACATGGGTATGGGGACTCATTATGGACACATATATTACATATTATATAATATTCTTAGATGAGATGTTGTAAATTATGTAGAAATGTCCTTCAAATTGAATAAGATTTAGAAAGATTGTGGAATTTTTATCTCTCATCTATGTTAGGTTATAAATATTTCTTTTCTAGCAAATGTGAATTTCTGATTCTTCAAACATTGAAAAAATTGAAGGATCTAAGTGTCTAAATTGGGTACGGGTATCAAACACATATTCCACACTCTTATCCTGGCCATATCTGGTGTACACGAGTACTTTGAGGGAAAGTAGAAGAGTCCATGTAACATAGCTTCGAATCCTTGAAACATTTTAGTCTATTGAGAAAGGGAACTGAAGATCTTCAACTGCATATATATATATGGAGAGAGAGAGAGAGAGAGAGAGAGAGAGAGAGAATACATTTTAAGCCTGAGTACCAAAAGGGCTCAAAGAATCTTGTTTGAAGGAGAAAAAAAAGGCCAGGGGATTTTATTGTTGGGTCAAGTATCAGACTCAAGAAGCAACCAAATGGCACGTAATGTTTACCAACCATGATATTCATTAGGATTTCTTTCAAGGCGTTATTAAACTAGCAGTTTATATTAAGAGAAGTTCAATCAAATTAAATTGTACCATTGAGATGGCCAATGGAACAATAATAACTATAGCAGCAACTTAAACAATAGGATTGATGGCAGAAACAAGGAGAAAAGGTTAGGACCGGATGTGTCCTACAAACAATTATCAGGCCCGGCCCTAAGGGCAGGCCAAAGAGGCCTACGCCTTGGGCCCCTAGATTTGGGCTGAAAATAGGGCCCCAAAATATGATTTTATGTTTTAGATATTAAAAAAAAAAAAACCATATACTATAAGCCCAATTGTATATGGGGCCTAAAAAAAACAAAATATATCATGACAAATTAGAAGCCCAACTAACATGGGCCCAAAAACAAGATTATAATTTATAATACCCACCGAAACTAAGAACGTGGGTCACTGAAAGAAAATAAACATGAGAAAATTAGAAAAATTCTGGAAGTATATTAGAAAATTTCTAAAAATTTCTGGAAGTATAAACATTAGAAAATTTCTGAAAATTAGAAAATTTGTGGATTTGTGATTATATAGAGTAGTCATGCCTTCTAAGAAGTATATTTTTGGATGTAAAAAAAGGAAAAAGAAGCAAAAATTAGAAAATTTTATTCAATCTCAATCAGGAGCGCTTGATAAATTTTTTGGTAGCAAGAAACAAATAGAAAGTTTATGTTTGGTTGATGAAGAAGTTGTTGTAAGTAAATTTTTTTGTGACTACAAACAAATAAAAAAGTTGTTGTAACTTATCGTTTTATCCATCAATTTTTTTTTTTTTAATGTAAGAAAGGCTCCATTTACGAAGGTCGCCTTGGGCCTCCTAAATCTCAGGGCCGGCCCTGACAATTATGCACCAACATTACCTGAATCACAATTCAGTGGACTATCAGGTTCTGGATGGGCCATTAAAGCAATTTTTAGCCCTGCAAACTGACTGGAGTGTCCAAGCTGGACTCATGCATTCTTCAGGATATCAAGGCAAATCTCTCCTGTCTGCAAGGGGAAATATTAGAATAAAAATAACCAATCAATCAACTAACTGGTAGTGGTATTACATTCAGCATACAGATTTCGGTACGAACTTCTGGTTTTGTCATAAACAAGGTCCACAAGACGGTAAGCCTAGTTTATTTTACCAGCCAATAGGTCAAGTTAAAGTGCCAGCAAGCTTTGACTATGTTTGTTTTGAGATCCAAGAATGACAGGTTTATGAATCATCGATTGTCCAGATAACTGGTACAACCCAGTCATGATATGGTTGAAGCTCATAACTGAATCATCGATTCCCCATCTATCAATGTGGTTGAATAATGTCTTCCCTTTGTTAACCACATCAATTGTCCAGATAACTAGTAAAACCCAGTCATGATTCAGCTACCCAATATAAGACCAAATTCCAAAATGCCATTTACAAATGCTATATGATACATTTATGAGCAAAACAGATCAACACGAACCACAACTCCCTTTCGTCATTCTCAGCATTAGAGAATGGATATCACAATGAAAAAGAACACATCAAAAAGATTATACAAAAGATTCATACCTTAAAATGCACATTTGGGTGAAATATTTTGGTTAAGAACCAGACTTGAGGAGGTTGCAGAGGATACTGCTCAGGGACAGAGAAAGCGAGCTGGAAAACACCACCCTTGAATTGGAGTTTCTGATGGTCCCTAGATAAAGAATAAAGTCAAGCAACAGCATAAAACAATGGACTGTCAACATCATCATTACAAAATCTACCTTGATAAGAGCAGTCCATTTAAATATATT